TCACAACTTGGGACATTTCTTCTGCAAATCGTGACGCAGCCTTCTCAAAACTTCCAGATAAAAACTTTGGTTGACAGTTTCACCCAGAGGAACAAATTCTGAGTGCACAATCCCTCTCACATCAAAGAAACAGATGATCATTGTTTTCACGTTCGACTTCACTTGTGCTTTTTTGGGTCATGGGGCTGTGGCAGTTTTCCATTGGCTGAATTGCTCTTCCATTTTGGGGTCGTAGGCGTAGCACCAGATTCATCTCCGGTTATGACTTCCTAAAAAAAATGAGGGTCAGCCTCCAACTGCTCTTTCAAAGCACGGCACGCAGTCAAGCGATTGTCTCTTTGTTCAGGCGTGAGCAACTGAGGCACGAATCACCCATCATGAAATAGGCAAACACGCTGAAAGAGTCTCTAAAAAAAACCTCACTGAAGCTGAACGCAGCCTCTCACAACCACGCAGCTGGTACACCGATGCAGATGGGTTCCTAGGACATTAACCTAGTGGGGGAAGCCTGTACTACAAGGGGCCCGCCCTCCAGAACATCATTCCCGATTTTTTTGCCCCCCCCCCCCGTATCTACAGTCTGAAATTCTGAAGTTTAGAATAAGGGTAGTTAAACTAAATATTAGAAGAAATATTTTCCAAAATTTCCCCAGAAGAAACAATTGTGAAATCTCACCTTGTTTGATTGATTTGTGACACAGAGATAAGATCTAGAACCCTAAAGCAACTAGTCCTAAATGTATTATTCTTCCACAAGGAATGATAAGAATGTAATAACTAGTTCCAGCTTGGACAAAACACTCTTCATAGATGCACTTTGCTATTTTTTCTGAACTGCAATTTTTGGTATGTCTAGAAATGGGTATTAAAAGAAGCACACTGCCAAACAGTCCACAAAGAAATAAAAATTAACAGAAACCAAATATGAAACCAGAGAGAGTTGTGAAAGGATTGCAGCTGTTGATTGCAATCCCAAGTTAAGTATTTATCTATCAGTACTGAAATGTAGCTGTTCTGACCTTTTGTCTTTCCACTTCAAATTAGAATATGGGTAAACGTTCACTAAGGGAAAACAGCATGCTTTATTTTTCTTGGAATGACTAAATGTTCTGGTGGTTACAAGCTGCAAACACCCAAGAAAAATCCAATGGCATTTATACCTGAGAAAGATGTAATTGCCCCAACTCTTCCTTGCTCCACAGGTAAGAGCCATCAACTGGCTGTTCTGTCCTAGGTCAAACACTGCAGTGTAAGTAGTGTATTAAACAAGTCAGCACTAAGTATTCGCAACAGAGCCAATAGGCAAGAGGGTGATCAAAATCTGGTCCAGAACTCAATGCTCACACATCAAGACAAAAAAAATGTAAAATATAAGTGCAGTTGCAGGCCAAAAACGATTGGCACCCAGAGCTAGAGAGCTTCTAAAGAAGCCAATGAGTTCTTAGCTTCCTAGAATACCTGCTCAACTAGTCACTTATGCAAACACAAAAGCCTGCCATACAGTGCAAATGTCTCTCTCTCTGTGTGTGTATACAACACACACATACACATACACACAGAGGATGTACCAAAAGTCAGGCCCCACAGACAATTGATTATATAAATTGCATTAAATGTTCAAATCAGTTGCTGTTTGCTTCTAAACACTTCCTTATTCATTTGACTCATGACCTTCAAACATTTCTAAGAATAGTAACATTTTCTCTGAAAAAAATTAATAAAATTAATAGATCATATTGTGGTCGGCCTATGTACTTCTGGTACATCCTGTATATACACAAATCTTCATGCCAGATCAAAGATACATGTGATAGCACTGTTTCCTTAAAGAAGCCTGAAGATGGCCAAAGAAAACTTTCAGAAGCTCAATGCCCAAGTAGGCCTTTTCCAGAACCAACAGGTAACACTCTCTTTTAGTATTTTACATCCATAACTGCTGTCCTGCCTTGATTTTCCAAGGAGCAAGTCTCCACTGGAAATTTCTTGTTTCGTCTCCATGCCTAGAACAAAGATAGCTGTGCATACCTGCATCCTTATACATGAAAACTTTAGCCTTAACACAGAATTCAAGGGGGAAAAACCATATACTTTGTCAGTTTATGCGTATAGCACTTTCCCCAAAATAGTCCTTTTAAATACAACGAATAGTAAATCTATTACAAAAATAGGGGCTCATTTAAGTCAAAGGCATTTATTTATTTATTTGTTGAGTGGGCATAGACCAAAACAATCAAAAACATATCAACAGGCCAGTGAACAGAATTTAGTACAAATCATATCAATGTGATATCAACTCTTCATATTAAGTAGGTCTATAACATTAAGATTCCTTCTCAAGATCTGACAGGCAAAGACAGAAAGATATAAACAGAAGGTCCTTTGAACAGCCTGCCTTTTGACAAGAGAGAGAGTTCATCTTCTTTGCCAGCGTCTCAAGTTCTGAGCTGAAAGAACTAGATGGCAATGTCTGTCCTGGCTGTTTCTGACCAGCACTGAAAAACACAGCACAGAAAGTAGTACAAACCACTTGATACCATGGTATTTGCTCATAATAACCTAAGCACATAAAAGTGCATGTAGTTCCTTCATAACTCCTTCGAGCAGCAATTTCATGAGCTAGGGTTGGAGGAATGTACTCTAATGCAAGAAACATGTTTCTCTAAGTGGTGGAGAAATGTACTCTAATGCAAGAAACATGTTTCATGGTATATTGCTCTCTTTCTCTCTTTCCCAATCTCTTCTTAATAGCTATCTTATAGAGGGAACAGAATCCAGAAGCTGCTAAATACAACTTTCACCAACTCTATCGATAGTTTAAGTACTTCTAGAGGGTCACAAGTGCTCTCTCTGCTCTGTCGGTCATTCATGGCTTTTTGTAGTTAATTCAACAGCTGATTTTTAGAAGATCCATCCATGATTATATAACAAAAGATATACAGAAGCAGCTTTTGAACTCACTATTCTATTCACGGAAATAAAGAACCACCAACTAAGCCTGTAGTTCTTATTTTAGGCACAGATTATGTTTATTCAATCTGTAGATTACCGAATGCGCAATGCATCAGAAGGCTGTAGATGCCACTAGAGGTCTTTTTTTTGTCGTCTGCGCTCAGTCATTACTGACCCTGCAGTGACTGCTTTGGACGAGTCCTTTGCAGTTTT